AGTGTCAAAAGCTTGCGTGGATTCCCCCCAGGATAGTAGTGACAGTTCCGGTAACTACTGCTTGAGAAAATGTCCATAGATACAGGGGCTTTGAACTTAGTAACATTTTGAAACAACTGTTTATGTCATCAGTGATAACAGCATCAACATGTATTGGAGAAACAGTACAATGTGTGTGAGTCAGGTTACTGACTGGGACTGGAAGCATAAGATTATGTTACCAAGGGGAACAAAGCCCTTACAATGACCCCGATGTGCCCCCATGAGCCTGCCCTGCAAGTTAAGAAACAATGGATGATAGGAAGACTTGGGAAGATTTTAAGCAGATAAGTGATATGATCAGACCTACCAATGAAGTAGTCTCTGGGTATATTAGAAATTGCAAAATTTGCAAATAATGAAGGAAAGAATTGAGAGAAGGACCTTGCTGTCACATGTCCTCCCATATTACAAATTCAGCATTATTAAGGTCCCGGTTGGGCACTGACCACAAGGGCTAAATTACTAGAAATATCCCCACGTCATCCATAAAGGAGCACTGCCCCCAGGCCTCAATGATGTGTTGTTATAATAAAAAGAGCTGACATTGAGCATTGCCACTAAGACACTGCATGAACAAGGGCCTCTGACGTTCATCCCATGAGGGTGAAGGGATTGTGTTTGTAAAATAGTGTTGGGGGGTTTTAGAGGATGTTAGGTTTATTAGTAAGTCAGTCAACATGTAAACTAGTTTTTATTTTTATACCAACTTATGTTGGTTGCATTACATATGTGACCTGTTATGACCTAGAAAGAGTTATTAACCTAAGAAGTTGCATGCATTATCCATCAAATCAAGACCCCAGTTGTCTGACAACAATTCCTATGAAAGAAAAACTGGAGATTTTTGAAAATCAGAAGTATTGACTAATGCCAGGGTTAAAATGTTCACATCTACACATATCAGATCTTGGCCAACCTTATCTATGGGTGATCTTCCCCATGCGTTTTCTTGCCTCAATATTTCGTTCTGCTGATCCTTCTGCAGTGATTCTTTTGTCTCCATGAGTTGAACACACATCCTGATTATGCCTTGCAGACAAAAATGGTGTTTTTCCTCATTGGCAACAAAAAGTTCTGGATCTGTCATGAGTGGCAGAGATGCCACCCAATTCGACATAATGTGTCAATTGAAAAATACTATCCTTAAACTGGAATCTGTCTACAAATTGACCCGAGGAGGGATAGCTAATAAGGCTTTTCATCACTAGGTGAAATACAAAGAAAAGTATGAAAAAGAACGAGGAAAGCCCATGTTGGACTTTGAAACACCAACGTACCTCACCGCCAAAGAATCTCAGCAGATGCAGAGCGGGGTAAGTCCTACGCAAACACACCACACAGCAAACACACCCTCAACCTGATGAAAACATGCTCTGCTCACAAACATATCCAGCTTTCAATTATCCCACAGTAGTAGATGATGGGATGCTTTACCATATGATCTCTAAAATCCACATATGTCTTATTTTAACTATCATTTTCATAGAAATAGAACACAGTAAACTATTGCTAGTACTGAAATCATATTGAATATAATATAATTTTTTTTCATGAGTGAAACATTCCCTCTGCATAGACTTACCATCAGCTTTGGATTGCTCTTCTCTCTCTCGCTCTCTTTCTTTTTTTCTTAATTAATTTATTTTTTATATGTTTTTACTTATTTTGAAGAGGAAGGGAGAGAGTGAGAGAGATAGAAACATCAATGATGAGAGAGAATCATTGATTGGCTGCCTCCTGCATGCCCCCTACTGGGGATCAAACCTGCAACTGGGCATGTACCCTTGACCAGAATCGAACCCAGGACCCTTCAGTCCACAGGCCAACGCTCTACCCACTGACTAGGGCTGGACTGCTCTTCCCTTGATACGTAGCCCCAAGCCAAACAAAAGAAGATTAGTGATCAAGGTGTTTATCAAAACATCAAAAGTCAAGGTGCCGTAATTCCTATTTTAGAAATGTTAGCAAAGGCATCTAAAAATAATTTTGTCCACATAATCTATTTAGTGATTAAAAATAATAGATCATGATTATGAAAAAGGTCAAGTTTGTATCTGGTGACCTCAGGCTCTCCTTCCTCTGGGTTGTTTTATTTTTTTCCCTTGAGTTGCTTACCTCTAATTCAAAAGTAAAATCTTTTGTTGCCTTAAGAAAAATGTCATCAGGAGAGATGACAGTGGATTCCTGGGTCCTTCCCTCTGCTCTCATGGAGGGCCAGCCCCAGTCACATTTCCTTGAGGCCATTTGCTCTACACAAAGTTTTTCCAGAAAAATCAGACATGTTTTAAGTATGTGACCATCAGCAGAACTATGACCAAGTTAAGAGGCCAACATAGAAAGAAAATGTAATATCTTCTTAAGATTGAGACATCCTATATAGTAATCCTATATAATAAAAGTGTAATATGCAAATAGACCAAACAGCAGAATGATGGGTTGGGGGGGCGGGGCTAGTGAGCAAGGTGACCAGTGGCCGCAGAAGGGCAATGGGGGGTGGGGGTGGCAGGGCTGGCCACTCGCTGGCCAGTGCCATCTCCTGATTGGCCCGCCTGGTTACCTCCCACAGAGGGAGGCCAGACTGCAGCTTAGACCTGCTCCCCATGGGTAGTGGGCCTAAGCCATCAGTTGGACATCCCCTGAGGGCTCCCAGACTGCAAGAGGGTGCAGGCCGGGCTGAGGGACTCCCCCCCTCTGCGTACACAAATTTTCATGCACCGGGCCTCTAGTAAATAATGATAATGTGTCTTTTTCTTAACTTGTCCTTTCTTCCTACTCACATTAGAAAGAATACAGGAAAGAATATGATGAGTCCATCAAAGGCAGAAACCTGACTGGCCTGGAGGTCACGCCAGCTTCATTACATGCCAAATATGCAACCAAAATAATCAGCGAGGTAGTGCCCAGTTGGTCTTTTCTTTCCCTCTTGATCCAAATAACTGCACTAATGCCACTTTCACCACCTTCCGCCATTTTAACCACCACCTAACTTTGTGGGTTTCGAGTTGGGTTCACATTTGGTCACCTAATCTATGACCCATGTTCATTCTTCTGATATTTTAATTGAGTACCGAATAAAATGTGCTTACCTTACCATCCTATTAATTTCTAGTTTTTATTGAATATTTCATATTAACTGATGAAGCTTATACCCTGCTTTTATTGATATCTTTATTTACTAAATTGCAACTGTTTAAAATTGAAAGGGCTTTTTATCTTTGGGGATTTTGACCCTTTACCTGAGAAGAGCAATCCAGGCTTTCTGGTCATCATTGCTGCTTTTATTTTGTGATACAGAAAGAGTACAGGAGAGATCTAGAGGAAAGCATCCGTGGGAAGGGTCTCCATGAAATGGAAGATACTCCTGACATGATAAGAGCAAAGAACGCCACTCAAATCCTCAATGAGGTGGGTCCCCAGCCAACTGCATGCACATAATTCACAGCCAAGATACACACACACACAAATCCAAAGAGATGGAAAGAGAGTTTTTGAATTTCAAATTCCATATCCAACATGATTACTACCATTAAATAAAATATATCTTAATTTCTAATGAGTTGATATCATAACAATCTGTGTCTGTAGTGGCTATCACTATCCTAACCTATTATTTATCTAATATTATTCATCTTGGTCCATTTGGTGTGCTCATTTAAATAAAAACACCAAATGGGAGTGGTGTGCTCTAAGTTTAATCCTAGTTGTTACCAAACCAGATTTAAAATTTGCTTTATAATTAATTTTCTAAATAAAAGATGCTGAAGTGTTCAAAAAGAGGCCTTAAAATGGATTTTGGTGGTCACCACTGCATCCTACCATAGGGAAAGATGAACATTAGCAACTAAGGTCGCATGTTATGTGGATTTATAGTCACTCTGTACATTTTTTATTTAATCATGGAAGTAAGGAAGCTTTTTTAAAAATGTCACTATAGAAAGAATATAAGAGAGACCTGGAGCTGGGAGTCAAAGGAAAAGGCCTGAATGCCATGGCCAATGAAACGCCTGACTTCATGAGGGCCAAGAACGCCACTGATATCGCCAGTCAGGTCAGTGTCCCTGTTTCATGTCAATCTTCCAAAAAAGGTGACTGTGATTATAAGGACACAGATTGTCCTTTTATTATCTAACTTGTTGGTCAATGGCCGTCGAATGCATATAGTATCATTCTTAAACATCTGCCTGGTGAATCCATCTAATAAAAGAATCAGGAACCCTTTGCTAGGCCTGCTTCCATCTGCCTTTCTGAGTCTGCAGCCACAGGAGACATTCAGAGCGAAGGGTGGAAATTGGGGAACCAAATAGCTGCTTGGAAATGGTGTAGACTCTCTGACATCTGGCCTTGTTTCTTAGTCATTACACTCCTCTTTTGGCACCAAGAATTCCTTGCTTAGACTATTTTGGGAGTCCTTTCTTTCCCTCCTTTCAAGGCCTAAATTTAAAACATAGTTTTTAGGCATCCCACATTGTCTCACAGTGATTGGTTTGGGTCTTTTGCTGTCTTGTGTATATGAACAATCCATGCCTTACTCTCCGCTGATTATCTCCCTCATTTCCCATTACTCCTCTCCTCCCCCTTTTCCTTCCCCTACTTCTGTTCCCCATGCCCAACTAGATAGTCTCTCAACAGCTAGAACTCATTCTTTCTGAATTTCACTCTTTAGTATAAAGCTATAAACATAATAAGGAAAAGGTCTGTTGATTGTCAAATAAATGAATTTTGGGGGAAAGAAATATTGATCACCTCTTAATCAAATTAAACCAACAAGTGTTGGGCGCATTGTAAACATTTACTCAATTGTTGGGTATTCTTTTGCAGATTAAGTACAAGCATTCAGCAGAAATGGAAAAAGCCAATTTCACTTCTGTGGTTGATACACCTGAGATCATTCATGCCCAACAAGTCAAAAACCTTTCAAGCCAGGTAAGGACATTCATCAGGATATCACTCATTGACCCCAATCATGAAGTACAAAATCTTTGCATTTATTTGTAAGGAGGTCCTTTCAAATCACAATCTTGCCCAATAAAAGAGATGGGAGTTATCTATGATGCAAGTTTGGATCAAAGTTTAGATTTTTGCATCTAATTAAATGAGAGAATCTTAAGTTACTGAAGAACTCTTAGAAGAACTGAAGAAACAAAGTTAACAGTCTACATTTGGATTATCAATTTCTTTAATGAGATTATGTCATCAATGCTAACCCTGATTCCTCCCATGGTGGATAACTCTCCATCGTCCTACAAATAGAGAGATGAAGAAATGTGGGATGTCCTTCATACACCAGAAGTACCCTCATTTGTTTTAATCTTCCATGATATTGGAAGTCTGCCATTTATTTGAGTAGCCCGGATTAGAATGTTTGCTGTCTTCTGATCAGTGAGTTCTAAAGCAATAATTACCTGACCTGGCTATGCTTTATAAACACCTGGGAAGGTAGATTTTCCCGGTTCCAACTGGAATTTTGAAGCTAGTAAGTCTGATGTAGACCCTGGGAATATGTTTTGTATATTTATTTGTTTGTTTTTAATCTTCATAGATGATCAACTTAATGACAATCAAGTTGGAAGAATCATGAATTTAAACATTTTTTAGCAACATATAATTTTATATCATAAAGTTAGATATGAAAAATAATAGTTATTTCCAGAAAGTGGGTTAATTAGGAAGCAGATCTATTCAAACAGGAGAACTGAACCTTTTATTTTAGAGGTGGGAGTGGGGAAGAATTTGATTAGCAAAATTATGTGGGTCTCAAACTACCATGTTGTGTTCCTTGCGGGAGCCAGGGAGGTCAACATTCTTAGGTCTCTGAGAGGCTTACCAGCCAATAACCTCTGCCTTTTGACTTTGTTAACCCTCAAAGATGACCTCAGCATGTGCACCTTTTCTAGGGAGGGGTTCATTCACTTACTCTGCTCTTGTGTGCTTTCCTAGGCCTCTCCTGGGCTAGTTCCCCAGGAGAACTAGTGCTTTCCTCAAAACTGCTTCTGGTTTCCACTGGGGAGGACATAGTTCATAACTTATAAACTTCACATTGGGGGTTGGGAGGAGGAGTGTTCATGCAAGCGTTGTAAGCTGACCCACAAATTCAGAATAATATTCTGAATACTCCTTCACGCCAGGAGGTCTGGGACTCCCTCCTCTCAGAATGCCCCTGAATTCCCAGTGCAAACTGACCACTCCTCTTAGGGACTAGCAGGAACTCTGCAAACCAGGTAAAACAGCTTTTGCTGAGGAAAAGGAGGTCTGGTTCTTCCCTTTTCCCAGGACAGTGAGAACCCTTTGCCTTACATTTGCATAACTAAGAAGGGTCATTCCAGTGATTTTCTCCCGAGGGAAAACATCTGGTCCTGGTGACCTGCCCTTTCCTTTCAGAAATGTCTGCTCTAACTGGCTTCCTGTTAGATCAGTGGTTCTCAACCATCTGGCCCTTTAAATACAGTTCCTCATGTTGTGACCCAACCATAAAATTATTTTGGTTGCTACTTCATAACTGTAATGTTGCTATTGTTATGAATCGTAATGTAAATATCTGATATGCAGGATGGTCTAATTCCACCACTTAAAAAACAAAAATCTCTTATATTAAATTTTTCAACACTTACAAATGTAATTTGTATGCAGGGTGGGCCAAAAGTAGGTTTACAGTTGTTTATATGGAAAATAATACAATAATTAATAAATAATAATACAAGAATAAATTGTTTCATGTACTCACAACAGTAAAGCTACATTTGCCCCACCCTGTATAATACAATTTAAATAAAGATATATAGGAAGATTAGTTTCACCCCCTTACAAAAGTAGCCAGTTTCTTTCCTCCGCCCTGCACACCCAAACTTCTCAAAAAAGTGTCAGAAAGTAGAGATAAATAAGCTAGAGAGGAAAGTGGAAGGACTTGGTGACAAGCGATAAAGGAAAAGCCAGACTCTAAGGCAGAGTAAGTGTTCCAAGTTTTTGAGCTGGAGGTGATTAGCTGAGTAGGGGATGGCTGCCTGGATGTTTGGGGAAGACCAGCCCCTGTGGGCCGTCTCTCCCACCAGCGGGGCAGGGCGGGGTGGGAGAGCCCAAGGAAAGTGAAGGCTGGCTCAGCGCAGTCCTTGGCCAGTGAAAATGTCCTTCTCGCCAACGAAGGCCGGCTTTCAGGAGGCCTTGGTGATGCCTCTTAATCCCCTGCTTTCTCCACCTGCTGTTGAACAGCCCGGCTCCATCCAGTTCACTGTAGGCATCCCCGTCTCCCTGCCAGGAGCCATACACACAGTCACCTCCCTCCTATGGGCCAGCCAACAAGCGCCTTTCTCTGCCAGCTCTGCCTGTCAGTGGGTCCTACTTAATACCTGGGCTCGGTCCCCCAGGGAAGAAAAGGCCTGAGCTACTCACGGAGCGAGCTCTGCTCTGTGACTCCTAACTCCTTGAACAGTCAGGGAAGGACTTCCCATCTGCTGAGCTATTTTAGGTCTCACTGGACCATCTCCCTGTGGTGTTCACCGTCCTGATTTTTAAAATCTATTCCCAGAAAAAGTACAAGGAAGATGCAGAGAAGAGCATGTCCTCCTATGAAACAGTGTTAGACACCCCGGAGATGCAGAGAGTGCGGGAGAACCAAAAGAACTTCAGCCTTGTAAGTTTTTACTGGATCTACAGCACAGCCCTCGGGTCGAGGCAGGGCAAGGAGGCTGCCCCTGGGCACACACAGGTGGGCATCACCCCTGCAGTTGGGCATGGAGCAGTCCCACAACTCCCACCCTCTCTTCTCCACTCGCCTCATGCTTCAAGCCCAATCAAAGCATGACAGACCCATCTGTCACTTTGTTGGTGATTTCCTGTCACTGAATATGAACTATCACCGTTTTTTATTAGTGGCAACATCTGTGTTTTTTCACAGTTAATTCCAGGTAAGGTATACATTTAAAAAAAAAAACAAAACCCTAATTTGACATGTTACAAGTTTTAGGGTTTTTCAAAATTAGTCTCTCCATAAATTTTTATTAAAGAATTTCCCTTTGGCTATCAGGTGGTGATTATGTGGCATAGACATTTTTTTAAACACAGGATTTTAACTTCCTTCACACAATATAGGACAATTAAAGATATATAAAACAATGCTGAAATCTTAACAAAATGTTTACTCTTTCTTCTTAGCTCCAATACCAGTGTGACCTTAAAAACAGCAAAGGAAAAATTACAGTTGTTCAAGACACCCCAGAAATACTGCGTGTGAAAGAAAATCAAAAGAATTTCAGCTCGGTATATTTACTCTTTATTTTCCATTCAATGCTAATCTAATAATTCCATACTCTTTAAAAATATACTAGCCTGACAATTAACATCTAACCTCCCCAGTTAATACCAGCAGTTACTTGTTAACATTCTCCATACTTTGCTGTAAAACCATCATTCCACAGACCATTTGCATAACAATTTAAATCTGCTAACTAAGTAACCTTTCTTTCTTTAAATTTTTAAAAATATATTTTTATTAATTTCAGAGAGGAAGGGAGAGAGGGAGAAAGATAGAAACATGAATTATGAGAGAGAATCACTGATTGGTTGCCTTCTACCCACCCCACACTGGGGAATTGAGCCGCAACTCAGAATCAAACCTGGGACCCTTCAGTCTTCAGGCTGATGCTCTATCCACTGAGCCAAACCAGCTAGGGCTCTTTAACTTTTTAAAATCCCACAGCAGTAACCTGTGTTGTCTTGCTCCAAGAGGATGGAGTTTTTTTGGACATTGTGATTTCTTTCTTTTTTTTTTAATTCTTTATTGATTAAGGTATTACATATGTGTCCTTATCCCCTATAACCCTCCCATCCCCCAGTTCATGCTCTCAGCCCCCTAAGTGTCTGTGCCATTGGTTAAGGCTTATATGCATGCATACACGTCCTTTGGTTGATCTCTACTCCTTACCCTCACCCTCCCCTACCTTCCCTCTGAGGTTTGACGGTCTGATTGATGCTTCTCTATCTCTGGATCTGTTTTTGTTCAGCAGTTTATGTTGTTCATTATATTCCACAAATGAGTGAGATCATGTGATATTTATCTTTCTATGGCTGACTTATTTCGCTTAGCATAATGCTCTCCAGGTCTATCCATGCTCTTGCAAATGGTAGGAGTTCCTTCCTTTTTACAGCAGCTCAGTATTCCATTGGTGATTTCTTATCTCTCCCCCAAATAACCAACCAACTTCACATTTCTTTCATGGATTTTGTATTTCATATAAGCTCGAGTTTTTTTTTTTATCAATATTTTCTGGTTTTCCTCCTTCCGTATTAATACGGTATGATAATCTTAAAAGAAACCTCAGAATCTGGAAAGTGACCCATTGTTGCATGTGGGAGTTACTGATGCCGACGTGGAAGACGTCGGGTACTCGGGCACTTGCCTAAGAACTTTCTCTAGTGTCTTTTGATTTCACGGAAACCAAGTTTCCTAGACTCTCTCCGGTAACTGCCGGGTTTCCCTTTCCTTTGTGTAACACTGTCCCGATTCTGAATGCCCAGGTTTTATATAAAGAGGACCCCTCGCCAGGAACAGCGATTGGAAAGACCCCTGAGATGATGAGAGTGAAGCAAACACAGGACCACATTAGCTCGGTAAGGACGCCGTGGACTCACCTTTGATATTTTCTGCCTCCTTTTGATCATTTACACGGATGTCTGAGCTGCACTCAAAACCCTTGTCACCAGGAGCTTAAGTTGCTCAAATCAGTTAGGGTCACCTCATAGTCAGTGCAGCACCGGGCAGTTTTTGTGAGCGGAGGTTAGATATGGAAAACGGAGACGCCTGTCAGAGCAAACCAGGGCTGGACAGTGATGTAGTAAAAAACAGACTTTATTCAGGACCACTGCACTGTAGGGGAAAGAGATCTCGGTATAGAACTGGACTCTATTTCCAATACAATAAGGAAAAGTGAGAATTTATAGCTGGACGCTGGGGTGGGCAGGGAGAGGATCAGTGGGTGGAAAATTACTCAGAGAAAACATCTGGGCCATAGATTCTGGGGTCAGAAGGCTTGTGGCTAACTAAACCCACTCACCACACCCTTGCCGGAGGCGGGGCGGGGTGATCAGGCTGCCCCTGTGGGATGGTGGGGCGAGGAATTTGGTCAGATATCCAGGGGGATCAGATAGCCAGGGTGAGAGATGCTGTCAGGATTTGTGCTAAAGTTGGACGATGCAAAGATGGAGGCTGAAGTCCAACAGTCAAGGTCTAGTTAGGAAGAAGACTGAGAGGAGTCTGACCAAAGTTTGGTTAAGGAGAGACTCTGTCACTTGTCAGAAAACAAAATATGTCAGAGTCAAAGATTTAACCCGGAGCCCACCCCTACCCCACCCCCTAATGAGACAGGAGAGCGGCCAAGTCTCCTTGCCCTTGGCTTTGTTCTCCTCTAACCCAGTTCAGAATGTGGCCCCATTCGAGCTAAGTGGAGAACTCCTGCTATTTACTTGTGATTTTAAAAATTGCGGGACTGCTAATCACACCTCACATGCCCCCCCTTTCATATCTGCAGGTGAAGTACAAGGAAGCAATTGGCCAAGGAACCCCGATCTCTGACCTGCCGGAAGTGAAACGTGTCAAGGAGACGCAGAAGCACATTAGCTCGGTAGTGGCCCATATGCTTACTCCGCATGGGTTTGTGCGACCAGCCCTGTCCCGATCGCTCCCTAGCTCCATCTCACCCCTTCTCCCTTCTCCCAAGGGCTTCCCATGCCTTGGGGATGGTGTGAACTCTCCCTCGGTCATGAGAGGAGCACTGCAATTTGTAAGAGTAGATAAGAAACCTCTGTCTTCACATGGTCAGCGAGCAGGAGGGACTTGGCTTCTTGATGAACCATCACACCTGCAATTTCTAAAGTGAATGTGCCAACAGCAGCACTACGGTTATTGGACGATCTCAAGTTAGTTAACCAAAAGCGTATACATATAAACATAGAAATAACATACATATATATGTGTGTGTGCATGTGTGTCTTTATCAGGACATTCTCCACTGTCCAGAGGACCCAAGGTAGACTTTGAAGTCTCTGCAGCTTTCTCCCCTCCTTTCAAGATTTCTTGCCCTGTGTCCTCTGCTCTCTCCTTGTAAATGCAGAGTGTGTTTAAGAGGCTAGCTGTCATCTTCCCACAAGGGTATATTATATGTTAAGCCTGTTCTCTACCAGGAATTTCAGGTGCACACACATTCATACACTTTCTCATGCATAAGCAGATTCCAAACAATTGCTGGCTACTAGCAAGAGACTGTGTGAAGTTTGGGAAATAGTTTATGGCCAATAAAAGGTGTAGAGATTCTTCTGGTGCCTGGAGGGCTGAACTCTCATTTAGTTGCCGTTAGAAGACACTTGATCTTTCTCTTGCATGGCGTTCATATTATTTAGATGTCATTCCCTTTCACTCCCTGCCTACACTCTGGCTTCCTGATGGTTCCAGCTTCACTTAGAGTTTTGTGTCCACTCATCCAAGAAAACTAGCCCATAGTTTCTTTGTCACTTTTCACGCAAATTCCTGCCTTTCTCTGGTTTTATTTTGTTCTGCTGTCCATGGTCAGTTATACTGCCTTGCTGGGTAAAGAAATAAAATTCTGTACCAACATGGTGGACTTTTAAGATCCCTGAAAGTTTCCTAGCAAAACAAAGATATCAACACCAGTTGGTCAGTGATTTTAGGAACTCATCCGTGACACAGACCCCTAGATTTTTCATGTTGCTCTCACACCAGGTGCTAGTACATCGTAGAATCCATCCATTTGAGAAGAGTTCATTCATTCCTTTAGGCTGAAAATTCTTAGCATTCAGAGGAAAGGTGGCTAGAGGTTCAGGAAGCTCCTCACTCTTCATGACAGTGTCCAGTCCTCTGACATAAAGCCTAACCAATAGGGACTTACCTGCTAGCAGAGCACCAGTTTAAGTGATTCGACAATCACCTTTTTCAGGAAGATGCTCTTCCTGAAAAAATAAATGCCTTCAGTCTCCTTACATTAAAGGTACCTACAGACTAAGGGCCAGCTAAGAGTGTGCAGTAGAAAATGCAAAACAAACAGAAAATTCTCAATGACCCTGAAGGATTACAGTATCGTGCAATTAGAAATTTTTAAACCAAGCAACCTATTTATTAAGTAAAATAGATTTTTTGTGGACCTGCTATATGAAAGGTACTAATACAAGATGTTACAAAATGGAGAGATTTTTCTCATTGCTGAAAGTATGGCTACTATTTAGTGCATTTTAGGAATCTATTAAGTGTTGACTATACAAAATGCGCAATTTAGTGCACAGTTTTTAAAGTAGTAAAATTACTACTTTCAAGATAAAACGTAAATACTTGTGGAATTACTTCTCCTTATTCCTTGGGTGTCATATTTGAAAGCAAGACTGTTTTTATGAGTTTCCACCAAATAGCACAAGTGTAGCTGTAATACAAAGGATTCACGGTCATTTTACCTTTCTGGGTATTCTAATTATCTCCTACAGGTTATGTACAAAGAAAACTTGGGAACAGGCATTCCAACCTCTGTCACTCCAGAGATTGAGAGAGTCAAACGCAATCAAGAGAACTTTAGCTCGGTATTTATAAATATATCAAATAAGAAACTCTATTTTCCCATTTAAAAAAATTACCAGAATAACCCATCATCCTTTTTTAAAAGAGTAACATCTTAACAACGGTTCTGTGTGTATTTGTGTCTGTGTGTGTGCGTGTGTGTATTATTACCTGACCCAAACCATCGGGACTCACACAAAGTGACTCCCTTTTCTGATGGTACTTTAACCACTGACAAGTGTGAGTACTTAGATGTGAAATTCTGTAAGTAAAATTAACACACAATTCCTCATTATACTCATATCTTAAACTCAGTGCTTTCCATTGTACTTTTTTATTCTGAGAATTAGCATTGTAGAAATCATTAAAATGGTGAAGTAAAAGCACTATCCTACTAAATATTATTCACTAAAATACTCCCCCCTCACATACTCCTGTTTTAAATTTCTCCCTTCCTTAATCCTTATGCTTGTTTTGAATGTCTTCTGGGTACTTTTTTGTATCTCACAGGTTTTGTACAAAGAAAATTTGGGGACAGGAACCCCAACACCTATCACTCCAGAGATGGAGAGAGTCAAACGCAATCAAGAGAACGTTAGCTCGGTATTTCTTAGGGGACAAAAATAAAATCCCTTAACTCTTATTTAAAATAATATTTTAACACGTTACAAACATCTGATTTTTCTGCCTATAAAATTACTAAATTTATATAAAAATAATGATACCAAATATTACTTCAGTTTTTCATCTAAATCTAATTTAGTATTTACTTTAGTTCTGGTGTGAAATTTTAACTGTTTTCCCTAAAACATAGTATTGATCACTTTCCTTAAACTTCTGTAATACTCAGTATTTCCTTCCTCAGATCCTCCTTGAATAACAATAGGTGTTTCTAACTGGTGTGGCACACGTCAAAAGTAAAATCTAACATCCCTTTAAAAGGTCAATGTTAATTAGAATTTTAGTGGTATTTATTCTGGCTCTGTTTGATGTATATTTTGTGGTTGCAGTTTTTCTTTTAAAAATGTGATTCTTAAACATTTTCATTCAAAAGACAATGCAGCAATTTTTAGTAACTCAGAAATACAAGTTTCCTTGAGTTAGCTGTTTTTGTATACCACGCAAGATATAACTGAGCTTTCCTTTGGCATAGCTTCAGAATCATTGAAAGCTACTATTTATTTAGCTTTTAATATTTATTTTATTCTCCAAATCTATCTATTATCTCTCGTTCCCTAATTTAGAGTTACCAACAGCTCATTAACTTGAATGCTATTTGATAAGGTCCAGTCCTCTGTCTTTGAGAGAAGGCCTGTGTAAGGACTCCTGCCTGCATCCTGGCAGCTGTGTCTGTATTAATGTTGCTTAGAGACAGACATTGTGCTGTTCGACTAAGTGTCCAAAGGTGGCCTATAGTTCTATTTCTTAAAGTTATTTAGGCCTATTTTACATAATTATGAAAACAAACAAAAATACTTTTTAGAGACTATTTCAAAGGTTATGTCTACCTAAATGATGGCTCCAGGCTGATTTGGTTGTTGCTTTTGTGCACACAGATTTTGTACAAAGAGAATTTGAACAAGGGGACCCCCATACCTGTCACTCCTGAGATGGAGAGAGTCAAACGCAATCAAGAAAACTTTAGCTCGGTATTTGGCAGAAAGCTCCTTTAACTCCATATTTAAAAAATAATAATTAACTTTCTATAAATCCAAACTTATTATGAGTCCCTTTGAAATTCTCAATTTAACAAATTCTCTTTCTAAATCTCACCAACTGAATCCTTCTTTAACCAGCATTTGATTCTAACATTTTATGCTTTTCATACTAGTCCCTTAAAACTTTTAATTGGTTCCTTTCCTTATCTTTTCCCCTGTTATGTTACTACTGGGACTTTTGAAGGTAATTGATGTCCAAAAAAACCCCAAACACTGTCGTTATTATTTACTTGGAACTCTTTTTATTCAATATTTCTAGATTAGCATCACAAGAAAAGACACAGGATTGAGGCCCTGTGTAAAAATAATGGCTATTGCTTGGAACAGGGGTTACCTTGACATAGGTCCTGTCTGGAGCAGCAGCAGTACTGAGAAAGGAAATGGCTCAGTATCAGGACCCAAAGTAATCTCATCTTGATACTTGTTCTAAACAAGCCATTCCATGAATAGAAATCCAAACCTTCTGATTTGTTTTTAACACACAAATCAGACCATAAGCTTATATTTAATGTTATTTTCTCTTGTGTTATTATTGCTGAAAACCTCTACAGTCCTCAAATGGTCTGTGAGACTTCTATAAAAGGATCTTAGATTCAAATCTAAAATCTGAATCAGATCTAATCAAATGTTATTAGGAAAATGTAGCTGAATTTGGCGGGGAGCGGGGAGGGGGGATGGGAGAAGGTTTGATCCAAAATGCTTTTTTTGTGTGTGTGGTTTTTTAATGTTTTTATTGATTTCAGAGAGGAAGGGAGATGGAGAGAAAGATAGAAACATCTATGATGAGAAAGAATTATTGATCAGCTGCCTCCTGAATGCCCCCTATTGGAGGCCGAGCCCACAACCCTGGCATATACCTTGACAGGGAATTGAACTGTGACCTCCTGGTTCATAGGTTGACGCTCAACTACTGAGCCATATGGACGGGGCTCCAAAATGGTTTTTAATTGTTAAACTATTTTCTCAATGTTTCATTCTTTCACATAATTATATCAGTAGCTTTCTTTGGTCCCATTGTCTTTTTTAAATAATATTTTTTAATTTTTCCATTATAGTTGACATACAGTATACCTGTATTAGTTTCAGGTATACAACATAGTGATTAGACATTTATATAACTTATACAGTGATCACTCTTATTAGTCCCACTGTATTTTTGTTTTGTTTTTCTTTGTTTTTAATTACTATTCACTAACAATCTTGATTTCATTTAAATTTTCAATGTCAACTAATACTACTTTTGGAATGTTACCATCAGTGTTTTCCTTGTGGGCATATTATTATTATTCCTTCTTTTGCAAAGGTTTGCATTAATTTTTCAAGATTATTTTCTTCTATATTAGAGTAAGTATATTATTATTTATATCTGTTTAAGATCTTGATGACTCTGATGATCCTGGACAGGATCTTATCATACAGGTGCTTTTCTAAGTAACCCTTTGTGTTAATTATTACACAAGTTGCATTTAGGCAGAGCGCCCAGTGGTGCATAGAACCTTTATGACACCATGGAAAATAAGCAGTGCTGTGTATTTATTAAAACCTTGACTTGTAGACTGGACCACCTCCACAATTGGAATTTACTTAGCAAAGACCAATTTCACCGTATTGCATAGGTTTGGCCTAGGGTTTTAAATATCTGTTCTTCTGTAAGATATTCTGTATAGGAAAAATAAATATTTGCCAATCTAATTGAAAGATAATCTTCCTATTGTACACTAAGCATTTTAGTGCTCTTATAAAATTAGCGTTTGTATCTTTTTTTTATTTCTTGATACAGAAAACAAACATTGAATATATGAGTTAGGCTAAATGCTGAATATCAAACACACTGGCACTTTAGCTATGGATCCATGGTACATGTTGTCCTCCAGATCTGTGTTTGAAAAGACAGGCTGACTTGGGGAAGTTGTCTTTCCCGTCTGATGTCACAGTCTCGTACTAGGTTCCCTGCAAGACAGAGATACATGTTTTTAAAACCACCTTACCTTTTCGTTTGCTTGGATAACAACAAAACTGAGTTTTAACCATTTTAAATCCCTATGTGATTGTTTAGGAGGTACTGTGCTCATAGAAATGAAAAAATAACATGGGTAACTCCGACAGCCTTACCCACGGCGGCTGAGGTCCTTGGCGTCCTAGCGAGTGTTTTCCGATCCCAAGAATGGCTGTTGTTAAAGTAGCTTGTGGCACCTTGTCCGTGTGTAACTCCTGGCTTCTTAGACTATCGTGTAACTTGGTAACAAGGAAGTTGAACTCACCCTTAAAAGCTCACAACAAACGAAATGTTCCTTATGGTTGTTTTCTGGATGCTTTCTCATCACACAGGTGTTATACAAAGAAAACATGGGCAAGGGGACCCCTTTACCTGTCACTCCAGAGATGGAGAGAGTCAAACACAATCAAGAAAACATTAGCTCGGTATTTTGGACAGAAAGGGAAAAGAAGATGCCATTTAACCTCATAATTAAATTGATACTAAACATTTATTATTTTTTGAAACCCACTTCCCTTCCTTTGCTTCTAATATACCTCACTTAGCAAAAGGACATACGTACAACGCTTGCATTTCTATACTACTATCAACTCGATTTCTTAAATTTCAATTAATCCTGATTTCTCTGCCACTTGGTATTTTAAAAATATACATGTTTTTAAAACCACCTTACCTTTTCGTTTGCTTGGATAACAACAAAACTGAGTTTTAACCATTTTAAATCCCTATGTGATTGTTTAGGAGGTACTGTGCTCATAGAAATGAAAAAATAACATGGGTAACTCCGACAGCCTTACCCACGGCGGCTGAGGTCCTTGGCGTCCTAGCGAGTGTTTTCCGATCCCAAGAATGGCTGTTGTTAAAGTAGCTTGTGGCACCTTGTCCGTGTGTAACTCCTGGCTTCTTAGACTATCGTGTAACTTGGTAACAAGGAAGTTGAACTCACCCTTAAAAGCTCACAACAAACGAAATGTTCCTTATGGTTGTTTTCTGGATGCTTTCTCATCACACAGGTGTTATACAAAGAAAACATGGGCAAGGGGACCCCTTTACCTGTCACTCCAGAGATGGAGAGAGTCAAACACAATCAAGAAAACATTAGCTCGGTATTTTGGACAGAAAGGGAAAAGAAGATGCCATTTAACCTCATAATTAAATTGATACTAAACATTTATTATTTTTTGAAACCCACTTCCCTTCCTTTGCTTCTAATATACCTCACTTAGCAAAAGGACATACGTACAACGCTTGCATTTCTATACTACTATCAACTCGATTTCTTAAATTTCAATTAATCCTGATTTCTCTGCCACTTGGTATTTTAAAAATATACATGTTTTTAAAACCACCTTACCTTTTCGTTTGCTTGGATAACAACAAAACTGAGTTTTAACCATTTTAAATCCCTATGTGATTGTTTAGGAGGTACTGTGCTCATAGAAATGAAAAAATAACATGGGTAACTCCGACAGCCTTACCTTACCCACGGCGGCTGAGGTCCTTGGCGTCCTAGCGAGTGTTTTCCGATCCCAAGAATGGCTGTTGTTAAAGTAGCTTGTGGCACCTTGTCCGTGTGTAACTCCTGGCTTCTTAGACTATCGTGTAACTTGGTAACAAGGAAGTTGAACTCACCCTTAAAAGCTCACAACAAACGAAATGTTCCTTATGGTTGTTTTCTGGATGCTTTCTCATCACACAGGTGTTATACAAAGAAAACATGGGCAAGGGGACCCCTTTACCTGTCACTCCAGAGATGGAGAGAGTCAAACACAATCAAGAAAATATTAGCACGGTACTTTGGCAAGAAGAGAAAAAACTACTACTTAAAAGTGATTTAAAATAATGCACATTAATCCTCCTTTTTAAAGACAACTTACATTTTGTGAATTTCTTGATCACATTTATCCTTTTGCCCTATAGGGCTATCTTAGCCTTAACCCCATAATAACAAGATTGCTTTAATCCACAATTTAAAATTCTAATATCAGGAAGTAATGGATTTTCCAATAAAATATTGGTTTGCTCATCTCTCCCCAAACTTACTCTCTATTCACTACCCCCAAGGTCTCTTTGTTTTCTGTATTTGTGAAATTTGGGAGACGGCATAGTCGAGTTGTGGGTTTTTTGTATGTTTTTGTGCCTATGACTTTAGGTTCTCATCTACCTTGTCAGATTTAGACAAAGAGACCTTGGGAAATACAATCCCCATCCTCTCCTTCAGAAATAACGACAAATGAATATTCAGTAGTGGTTTTGGCAAATGGTTATTAATTAACTTAAAAAGGCAAGTGTCACTAGAACTGTTTTTTGTTTTACCAATTTTAGTTCTATTTGTCTTTTTCATGACCTTTAACTGCTAACTTAGTAAGCCATTTCCTGTAATCCTGTGCTCTGCAATATTCTGTATGTTGATAAATGACCGGGGCTGGGGTTTGTGTCGGGGGGATTCTAGCTTACGTAATGAAGAACGCTGGGGCCTCCACGTGAGCACAGTCACAGGTTTCTCCAATAGCTGTGCGCCAGAATCACCTGGAGGGTTTGTTAAACCAGACTGCTGGGTCCTGCTCCCACTGTTTCTTGTTTCTGGTGTGGGGCCAGAAAATGTGCCTTTCTAGCAAGTTCTCAAATGCTGCTGACCTTGCTGCCCAGGGACCCCACTTTGAGAACCACCACCTTAACAGAAGTCTTCCTCTAGAGCGGCATTTCCAAAACCACCCGTGTCCCCAAGAATGACACTGAGGGGAGACATCGAGGTTGAGGATTTGTCATGATGTGTTACCATGTGTTTAATTGACTTACCATATAGTGACATCATTGCTGAGAAGTTGGATGTTGTAGTAAACTGAAGCAAGAGGCACAACACAATGATTGCAAGGAGAAAAGAGAGGAGATGGCCTTTGCTTGTTTAAGGACCCACGGTTGTACTGAGGTGTCTATATGAGTTTAAGTGCTGCATAAAGGTGGGGTTCCCCACTGCAGAGCAGTCTCACCCTCACCAGTGGCCTTCCAGCCCAAGCCCCTAAGTGCTGTTTAGATGGCCTATCAGGTGCTGGAATTCACGGACCAGGGCAGGGTGAAGGGGGTGCACGCTGAGTCTGTCTTGCAGGCTGCACGGATGTCAGCACAGGGTCCTACCCTGGAAGCGTATTCCTTTCCATCTAACCTCACTGCCCAAATGGTTTGGCACCCTGAGCCTCCTAAAGAGTTACCTGTTCTGTTTAAACTTTTGGTGACTGTAATTCTTTTCTTCTTCTTTTTGCCTTTTTGGATCCATTGGACACATGTAGGTTTTGTACAAAGAAAATATGGGGAAAGCCACCCCAACCCCTGTCACTCCAGAGATGCAGAGAGTCAAACGCAATCAAGAGAACATTAGCTCGGTATTGTCTTGAGAAAGTGCTTTTATTTTTGCAAAGTAACCCCTGCCATTTGGCCTGCTCCTAACTCCATCCCAGGTTAAAAGCAAACCACATGCCAGTTTTCTAGAACCGTCTCTAAATGACATACTACACTTAGAACTGCCATTAACTGGCTTTAAGCTTTCTTCTTGAGAGCTATCCTCACTAATAATAATAGATTAAACATGGGGTTTTCTCACCCAAATTGCATTATAGTTAATAGCCTGAAGATTGCCGCCTAGTGACTTTTGGGTCCAACTTTGTATCTCACAGGTGTTATACAAAGACAACCTGGGCAAAGCGACCCCGACACCCTTTACTCCTGAGATGGAAAGAGTCAAACGCAATCAAGAAAACTTTAGCTCGGTATTTCAGAGAGGAGAAAAGAAATTGCTACACTTTTTAACAAGCCTGGCAAAGATGGTTATACCACTAATTTATCTCACTGTTTTCCCCAAACTTTTGTTTATCCATTAAAATTCTTCTTTACCTGCTTAAAAACAACAAACCAACCCCTCCAGCCCAAACGTCACCTTGTGCTTTATACAATAACATTTTAATGGCTTTATCCTCCTGAGGTGTTTCTCATCGAGTGTGATATAATTGAGCCATAACACCAGCTAGCTGATGGTTTTCCGAAATGGTTTTCTGCTCTCTGATGTCTGGATACTCTCTTGGCTCCTCTAGGTGTTGTACAAAGAAAACATGAGAAAAGCAACTCCGACACCTGTTACTCCAGAGATGGAGAGAGCTAAGCGCAACCAAGAAAACATTAGCTCGGTATTTTCTAGGATTACAAAAAAAAAAAAAAAAGGAATGCAACAACTTGGACAATAACATTTTAACTTCATAAAAATGTGCACTTTCTTATTCCACTGAAAATTTACACTAAAATTAACACAACTGTGCTTTTAAATTCCCAATGATCATGCTAAGACATAACAAGTTAATTGCCAACGTTTTCTGCCCCTTTTCCCTTTCCTCTGAGGTAGTTTTATGTAACCACCTGTAACAAATTGACTTCCTAACACCTCCAGTCTTCAGCTTTCCTTTCCTTTTAAGGTATCCTAGGAAACAGGTAATACTCTGAAATGGATGCCTTCTCTGGTTTTGATGTTTTGGGTTTTTCGTGTCTGCAGGACTTTGATTTCTGTATTTGCATATGGGTTTATAAAATCTTGACATAAACCTACAAAAAACCCCCGAGTACTTGTTTTGAAGGCTAGTTCTTTCAAACGTCAGTAGCACATTTAGCACCAAATACCATCTGATACGCTGGTGCTACAGTTCCCAGCAAATTCAAGAGAACACTTCCTTCCTTTTCCCTTCAAAATTATACGGTGCCTCTTCTCCTTTGAAAATGAAAGTTACATTTTCAAAGTCAAAACAGATCCTCCCGGAAGCGAGCCCTGCCCACCCATCCTCACGCTAACCTGCTCCATGTTATTCATGGGTCTTGCTGGGTCCTTTCGGACTCAAGCTTCCCTCCCAGCTCCTTCCACCCCCACCTGTTGGAGAGGGTTTGAGGCTTCAGAGTGAGGACAGTACCATAGACCTGTGCTCATTCGTTTTTTCTCCTCCGGCAGGTTCTTTATTCCGATAGCTTCCGGAAACAAATACAAGGCAAAGCTGCCTATGTCTTGGACACCCCAGAGATGAGACGAGTGAGAGAGACCCAACGCCACATCTCAACAGTGAGTCGGGAAGTCTCTAGGATTGGTTAGCCATCCTGTGGGCACACGGGGCAAAGGAAATGATCCACCCTCATGTTTTCACAAAACGAATTCATGACATTTCAGGTGAAATATCATGAAGACTTTGAGAAGCACAAGGGTTGCTTCACACCGGTGGTGACAGACCCTATCACTGAACGAGTGAAGAAGAACACACAGGACTTCAGTGACATTAACTACAGAGGGATTCAGAGAAAAGTGGTGCAAATGGAACAAAAACGGAATGACCAGGATCAGGAGACTATTACAGGTGATTGAGCCACAGTGGGAAATCGACTTGAAGCTAAGGGGGTAGAGGAACAGAAGTGAATTATCTATAGGGGGGCAAAGGATAAAGGACCTCAATTTGTGTTTCATTAGGTGTGAAAGAAAACCTCTATTATTTCATGACTTGCAAGCCTGACCTCTCTTCTTTATGCTTTGATCTCCTCTGAGGAGGAGACACGACTAGAGCCTAAGCTAAATCAATCCTCCTATGATTAAGTTCGTACCTAGCTCTCCAAGTCTTTGAGAGAGCCCAAGAACATCTGCTCTGACCCTTCATCTCACTTTCAGGTTTACGTGTCTGGCGTACTAATCCTGGCTCAGTTTTTGACTATGACCCAGCAGAAGACAACATTCAATCCCGAAGCTTACACATGATTAACGGTACGTTATGCCACAAAAGGACCACAGCAAAAATGTCACCATTTAGTGGGCTAGAGTCAATGACTTTCTGAAGTTCCTTTCCTCAGTTACCTGAGTTGCCCATTCAGCATTAAAAACACCTTGACGAGTGGGCCAAACTCATGTCTAGTCAAGTGTCACTGCCTCAGTGTAAGTCTCCCTCAGTGTAAGTCTTTCTGAGAGAAATAATGAAAACAATACATAGGCAAAGGGAAGAGAGAATGGATTTGATCTTTAGCAACTTTCTGAACTGTCTTATGTCAAAGATTAGTCATTCCATTAAAGAGGTCACACGCATGCCTTTATTGCCTTCTGTTCATGTTAAAAAGTCAAATAACAGGTAGTGCCCGTCCTCAAAGGTTCTACACTCTAGTTTCCTGATGAAGAGAGACGAGTAAACCAGTGGTTACTCCCTGACAGTAGTTTGAAAGGTCTGCACACAGGTCATGGGAACACAGAGAAAAGGCATCTACACTGACTTGGAAGTTAGGGAGGACTTTCTGGAGAAGGCGAAGTTGGAGTGTGAGTGTGACTATGACCGTGTGTTCATCTTGGTGAGGCAGGAAAATGGGCTGCATGGCGGGAAGGAGCAGTCTCAGGGCCACTCTGGGATTGCCAGCCTGGCTGTGCCACTTCCCTATCACCTGCCTTTTGGTAATTAAACTGTTCTCTGGAAAGTGAGGATGACACAATATGTCATCAGTGCTTTGGGGGTTTCATCCATGGAAAGCTACTTCAGACCGTGCTTGGTAACAAACAAACAAAAAGCAACAGAGATTCAAATACTGCCGGGGATTCCTGCCAACAACGTTTCACCTCTGATCCTCCTCAACACCTCACCTCCCCAGCCCAAGCTCAGCGCCGGAGCCGGGAACAGTCGCGATCAGCCAGTGCTCTGAGCGTCAGTGGCGGTGAGGAGAAGTCTGAGCACTCAGAAGGGGCCGACCACCACCTGTCCACCTACAGCAATGGCGGCATCTTCTTCTCTGCAGGGGGGGGGGGGGGGGGGGGGGGGGGCGCTGACTCCGACAGCAGGTCGGCCAGCTCACTGGCAGTTACTATAACAGAAGCTTTGAGTAATAAATAAATAAATAAATCTGGATTCTTTCTTCTTCTTTTTTTAAAAAAAATATTTTAATTCACATAGGAACAGAGAGGGAGAGATAGAAACATCAATGATGAGAGAGAATCATTGATTGGCTGCAAGCCTGCAACCTGGGCATGAGACCTTGACCAGAATCAAACCCGGGACCTTTCAGTCTGCAGTCTGATGCTCTATCCACGGAGCCAAACAGGCTAGGGCTGGATTCTTTCTTCTAATGAGAAAAGACTAGAATTGTGGAGAGGGCACATGAGTTAGATGTTTCATTTCTCCTTTCTTAGAAATTATTGTTTTTAAATTATGGGGAAAGCCAGCACTGTTCAGCAGCTAAACATAATGATATCTGGCTATATCTTCTTCTTATAAATTATTTCTTCCTTCCTTTCAGCTTACAAACATGCAAAAACCACAGAGCTCCCACAACAACGATCATCTTCAGTTGCCACCCAACAGACAACGGTATCCTCTATCCCATCTCACCCATCTACTGCTGGAGTAAGTAAATAATAAAGAACTTACTCAAATCATTCTTACTTTTTTGATATGTACAAAAATAATGATAGGCATTCTGATTTTTTTTGCACTACACTTTCTACTTTATATGATGCTTTTTTTTTTTTACAACACATCTTAGGTTAATAGCAATATCAGAAAACCTTCATTACAAAACTAAAACTAATTATAAAGTATTATTCAATGATTTAAAACAAAACAAAACAAAAAAACAAAGCAAATCATTAGTTTGGGCTCTTTGGTCCCACCCACTAACTTAAACTAAGATATTTGCTATTTGGTATCATTATTCAAGAATATATGTCTGTATGCACATCACACATATGAACATGTCATATTTTAGACTTCTCCTGTTAATATATATATTGAAAAGTTAAGTCAAATCATGTTCACAATTCACCAGACTACTTCAAAACTCTAAATTTAAGACCCTGGATCTTATTCATAATAGCACAAACACGTAATTATTTAGGATTGAAATGAATATTTGTATGAAGAAAACTATCTACTAAAAGATGTAAATGAAGATCTAAAAAGTATTGAGACCCATTATATTTCAGAAGGGAATCTTGTTAGGATTTCATATCTCCTAAGATAAATCCATAAATTCAAGGCAATCAGAATCCCAAAAGCATTTTTAAAATGTTGTATGTCAAGCCTAAAATTTATTTGAAAGAGTAAAGATGCAAGAATAACCAAGTGAATTTTGAAAATCACAATAGGAAAGGACTTAACCATGTTAAAGGAAAACAAAGCTATCGTAATTAAATATGGATTTAGCATGGGGAAAGTTTTTTGAAAAAGATAAAGTCCAGGGAGGGTGGAGGGTGGAAGGTGTAGGTGGAAGACAGTATAGGGAGAATAAATGGTGACGGGGGAAAAAATTTTAAAAAGATAAAGTCCAAAAATGGACCCTAAAATAAAATAATTATAAGTCAGCATACTACTGGTATGCTCCCAAATTCCCAAAGAGAGAGATACCTGCAATACTGTTATGGTTTTTCAAATTCTTCTCCCAACACAAGTTTGACCTCCTCCAAAGGGGGGAAAAAAGTCCACATATGAACAAGTCCACATATTTCACTTGGACACATATCCATGTTTAATACATTATTAACGTACTATGAAGTTCATCATTTGAAATGTACAATTCCATTGAATTTTAGTTCATTTACAGAGTTGTTCAACATGACCATATGCAATTTTAGAACATTTCATCACCCTAAAAAATACCCTGTATCCATCAGCAGTCACTTCCCATCCTGGGTCTTTCCCTCCATCTTCTATCCAATGTGAGGCATCCACTAATGTACTTTCTGTCGTATATATTTGCCTCTATGTACATATTGACATTTCATATAAATGAAATCACACAATAGTGGCCTTTGTGACTGGCTTCTTTTACTTAATGTTTTGAAGTTCATCCATGTTGCATCAGTACTTCATTCCTTTTTATTACCAAATAATATTACATTGTATGTAAATACCACTTTTCAAAAAATGCATTCATCTTGGTGGGCATGCATGAGTTGTTTTCATTTTTTTGGTTGTTATGAATAATGCTGCTGTGAATGAATAAGTGTATACAAGTTATTGGATGGACATACGTTTTTATTCCTCTTGGGTCTACCCCTAGGAGCAGAATTGCTGGATTTTATGGGAACTCTGTTTAACATGGGAAGAACACCCATAACTGTTTTCCAAAATGGCTGCACATTTTACATTCCCATCAGCAGTTTAGGAAGGTTCCGATTTCTCCACATCTCCCCCAACACCTGTTATTGTCTGTCTTTTTGCTCATCACCATTTTGGTGTGTGAGAGGTGGTATTTCATTCTCATTTTGATTTGCAATTCCCTGGTGACTCGTGATGCTGTGCATCTCTTCATGTGCTTATTGGTTCTATGTATACTTCTTTAGAATTCAGATCCTTTGCCCCCACCTTTTGTGTGTGTGTGTGTGTGTGTGTGTGTGGTATTGAACTATAGTTCTTTAGATATTTTGAATAGTAATCCCTTATCAGATATATGGTTTGCAAATATTTTCTCCTACTTTGTGAGTTGTCTTTTTTACTTCATTGTTGGTGGTTGTACATTCTCTTTTGGGCAACTTAAGTTTATGGAGTAAGTCATAGGAGACCTTAAAATTGAGAGTTTGGGTTAATTATTGCAAATCTAACATATCTCACCCCTTTTCTTTCCATCCTCACAAATAGAAAATCTTCCGTGCCATGTACGACTACATGGCTGCTGATGCTGATGAGGTGTCCTTCAAGGATGGAGATGCTATAGTAAATGTTCAAGCTATAGATGAAGGTTGGATGTATGGCACTGTGCAGAGGACCGGCAGGACCGGCATGCTCCCAGCCAACTATGTTGAAGCTATTTAGGCATTTCAAAGCATCATGCCTGCCTACAGGAACTACAAATCCTGCAGTCAGGATTTCAGTTTAGACTCTCCACTATTACCAAGTTCTCAAGCCACCCAATGATTTTTCTGTGTCCATATGATTTATGGTTGTACCATCTTTCAATATGTTCATATATGAACCTAAACAATTCTCCAGTAAAAAAGTTAGCATGACTAATCTGTCCAGTTATTAAACTGGTTTACTTCCTCATTATCTTCTGGACTTGCACATAAGACAAAGGACAACACAAAATCCATAGGTTCATCATTTTTTAAATTGCCACTATCAAACTTTCTTTTATTTCAGAATAGACATTTTAAAAGTTTCTGCAATGTTATATTATTGCTGTATCAACCCATTTCTCCATTATGAAAATGTTTAACATTATTTCTTTTCTAAAACAACGTGAACATGTAAACGTTAAAGGGAAAATGGCAGAGATGTCCACCTTTTCTGTGCTTACTGAATGCTGATGCTTTTATTTCTAATCCAGTTCTGAAGTTATAAGCTGTTAGTCAATATAAATTGGTATAAGCTAGCAACTAATAAAATATATAATTCTGCAATAAATGCCACTGATGGAATGAGATTTATTTATTATTTTTCAATCCTCACCCAATGATATTTTCTCTATTGATTTTTAGAGTGAGTGGAAGGGAGAGGGAGAAATGGAGAGAAACACTGATGTGAGAGAGACACATCAATTGGTTGCCTCCCACAAGCCCCCGACAAGGGCCGGGAGCCTGCAACTGAGGTACGTGAACTTGACTGGAATCGAACCCAGGGCCCTTCAGTCCACAGGCCAACACTCTATTCACTGAGCAACACGGCTAGGGCAGCATTATTTATCTTTAATAGTTTTATGATGATCTACAAATAAACATTTCAATAAAACAAACATTTCACCAAAAAAATTGAACTTAAAAAAAATGTACTGTTAAAAATGCACAAGCATAGATTTTATCAAAACTCTATCCATACTTGTGTTCCACAAGCTTCCTTTATGGCTCAGCTTATAAAGTTTTAGAAACAGTGTTGGATCCAATCCTAACCTCGGGGATCTTTCTCTTCTGAATCCAGTGGGCTGGCTTTAGGCGACAAAGGCATTATGTGGGCAAAAGGTGGAGTGCCAGCCAATGATGGCTTAATGCTCAAGTTAGCAGAGTATCCTTTCTAAAAAAGAAAAGATCTGTCCATATTACTTTAGAGCTGTAGTAATATTGCTGCCCTCATGAGGCAGAATACAGTAGGTCCTCGGGTTACATTGGAGATCGGTTCCTAAGGTGCCACATAGTCGGAACCCACCTACGTAAGCACCTACGTCACTCACATGGAGCACATACACAGCACTAATGAAGTGAAACAGTAAAAAAAAATTTTAAAGAAAGATAACAATTCCTGACCTTTACTTGTGGTAAATAATAAAAAACATGAAGCACATACGTACATACGTCGAAATGATGGAACTTTTTTTAAAAAAATAAATAAATGGGAGATGGCAATGTAACCATGAAACGACGTACATCGAGTCCAATGTAACCTGAGGACTGCCTGAAGTAAGACGCCAGGAAAATTCCTTGGCAAATGGAATGGGGACACTGAGACAGCTGATTCACACTGGCCACACCCAGTACCCTGACCCACCTGCTTCCTTCTTTCTTGCATGACCACCTTCTTGAGCATTAAGCCCTCAGGCCTATGAGGTTCTGATCAGCATCAAATAATCTTAGGACAAAGCCTCCAGTCTGTTGATCATAGAGATAGAGTTTTGGTCAAATTAGGGGAAACATCTAGGTGTCAGTTGTTTCAGTTCCAGGCCCAGAAAAGCAGCAAAACCAGATGAAGCAACACCATGACTGACAGCAGGACCAGATGCAATGACTAATGACACCCTACCTTAGCACTGACCAATCAGTAGAGACCATGATATTTTCCCATTGATTTTTAGAGAAAGTGGAAGGTAGAAAGAGAGAGAGGAAACACATCGATGTGAGAGAGACATCAATTGGTTGCCTTCCCATACGTGCCCAACTAGGGATTGAACCTACAATCTAGGTACTGTGTCCTGACTGGGAATCAAACCCCAACCTTTTGATATAAGGGACGATACTCCAACCAAGCCTCTCTGGCCAGGGCTATACTCTCATTTTGATGACTCAATATATTAAAGGACACCCCTGGAAAGCTGATGAATAGTCTGTTGAGATCCTTCCCTGAGACCTCGCCTAAAATTCCTCCTTCAGTAAACAGATAAAAACCCTGAAGACAAAGGACCCAAGGTTCTCTCTCTCTCTCTCTCTTAAGCTCGCCTGTGCCTTCTTTCTTCAGGCATGTATCTTTGCTTTCTTTTTCCTAAGCTCTAAGGGTCACACAAGACTTGCAACCAGAGTAGTGGGCAGCAGCAGCTCATCCCAGGCTAATCCTCTGAACCTGTTTACAAGAACCCTTCTTTTGTCGTTGTAACTTACTTCCTGAGTCTACACAGTCCAGCTGGCTCACTTCTTCTGCCTCTGACTTTCTAAAAGGCCAAAGCAGTTCTCTGACCGGCCTGCTCAAATCTCCTTAGAGTGCACTCTCACTTTGCATGCTAAATAAACTTCTTCTAGCACTAGAATTCTTGGCTCTGAATTCTTTCTTTGAAGAACTCAAGAACCAAGAGCCGACATTGCTGGGGTGGGGGTGGGTGGGCGCGGCGGCGCAGACTCTGCTAGGACTCTGGGCAGTCCTCCGTGTCTGTCGCATCAGCCTCCTGCGGCATCTGGGATTTGTCCAGGGCCATGGCTCAGCATGCAGAGCCTGAACCCACTACATTTAGATGGTGGGCCAGCCTGTGGGCATCTTAGTGGTGTAGTGTCCACAGACTTCTTAATGTGTCTGAGACTCGGGGAGTACACTAGCGAAGAGTGCCCACACTTGTGAATGATCTGCGACTACACCTGTTTGCTAGGCACTATGTGAGATGCTGGGGCTTGAGTGATGAACAAGAGACAGTTGGTGTCCTTATTAAACTTACAGATCCTAGAAAAAGGCAAACCATTCCTAAGCAGCCTAATGGTGGAGAGAGCCACTCTCCCCCTCCCAAGTCTTCAATCTTCACTTAAACTGGGTTAAAACTGGGCAACAATCCCATTGTACACTAGTTTTTTCCCCTAAATTTGGGGAACATTCAAAGCATATGCTCAGTTACAATAAATGTTTTAGTTTTTAAATTTCCTATTCACTTCGAAAAGCTGCCCCGGCACTTTATAGTTGCTATACAAAAAAAAAAAACAGACATAACCTTTATCTAATTTTAGTTTTTTAAAAGCTTCAATTAAAAAATTTCAACATATACAAAGATTGAGAATTCTACTCTACCCATCTCCTAGCCTCAAGTTATCAACTCAGGGTTAACCTTGTTCTCTTTCCCCCACCAATGCTTTCCTCCCACTACCTTGTGGGATTCCTAGTAATCACATTTCCTAAAAATTAAATCGTAATTGACACACCTTAAAACACTAAGTTCAACATTCCCCTTCATTCCACTTTGTAGCCATCTGTTAGGGCCCCCATTTTTGTCAGTGCATTGACACTGGAGAAGTCCTTTGTGTGACTAGAAATTCATGTCATATTCAAAAGGTTGTAACGGAAATGTCTATAGATTACACCAGGGGTGGGCAAACATTTTGACTCGAGGGCCACAATGGGTTCTTAAACTGGACCAGAGGGCCGGAACAAAAGCATGGATGGAGTGTTTGTGTGAACTAATATAAATTCAAAGTAAACATCATTACATAAAAGGGTACGGTCTTTTTTTTTTTTTAGTTTTATTCATTTCAAACGGGCCGGCCCGCGGGCCGTAGTTTGCCCACGGCTGGATTACACTCAAGCCAGAACTCAACTCAGCTCTCAATGACCAGTGCTCCCTGGTACTACTCAATGCCACTCCCTTGTGAAATGTGTTATGGATTTTTG